GAAAGAGAGAGAAGAACAACAAAGTCCTTCCTCACCACAAGAGGTGTGCCACACTCAGGGCAGGCAGTGCTTTATCACTCCCCACCAGCATGCACCAGAAACACAGGATCTCTAACAAATGATTGCTGAACTTTCCCAAAGTCACTTCAATCACCGCATTCTGCCTTTCTAAAATGCAGATGTGATTAAAATGACTCTGGTCCTGCAGGTTGTTGCATTATCTGTGGATTTCTTGGGGCAATAAGAGATGAAGTTGGGAGACATCTGTTCAGGAGCAGAACTGACTCTATAACTGGTAGTGGTGGTGCAAATCAGGTCAGAATCTGGCCGCAGTGTGTACATCATTTTAACATTCTCTGCCATCATAAAGGCACTGAGATGTCAGTCAACATCATTAATAGTTTTTAAATTATTAAGAATCATCCAACTGCAGAGAATGGAAAACAGCTCTGAAAGCCAATGACAGATCAACCCCTTTCATTCCTTCACTATAAGCCACTGGGGACAAAAACTCCACTTCAGTCATGTTGACAAAAGTTTCGAAAGGACTTTGCTAGCTCTGCACTAATTCTGTGATTTATGTCTCCTCTCCATTTTCAGACAGATGTGGTGGCTGGTCAGTCCATAATTTGGCATCACAGTGAGTAAGTGACCACTCAAAGGGTACAGGAGTTATTCCTGAAGGACTGCATGCTCTGCACACTGACTTCCACCATTGCTCTAACACCTCATTAGACAAGGTTGCTGAGAAGCAGATGGACAACAGAGGTCTTGCACAATCCCTCATAGATCTAGCTTCCTTGAAAATACTTGTTTGTTTAACAGCCTATATTAATTAAAATTGGGCTGGAGCAAATGACTTCTTAAAGTGCTCCTTTGCCTCTGTAGATGGAAGGAGTGCTAAAACTAATGAATAACTTCAGAAAATCTGTTTTCTGCTAATATTCTTCATAAATACATGGGAATAAACCCACCAGAATGATTCTAGTAGCCAGGAAAAGAAAGGAGATAAAAATGGAGGTCCAACAGTGATGAGATTAACATGGAACTAAACTCAAGGGATTTATTATTTTTCACTCCAAAATTAATTCAATGGATTGGAGCATAAAATTTCAGTTTCTCCTGCAAAGGGCTCATGAACGACCAGCTTAAGGCATGACAGTTGGATGGCGTCATTTGAACATAGACATTATCAAGATGGAGTTTCCCCAGGAGCCTAAGAACACAAACACATCTAGCTCAAATTAAACTTTTTAACCAAACACTGCAATGCACATCCATTGGGTACCATATTTTCTCACCTAGTAAGTGGATTTTCTCCCAGCTCCTCGGCCTAATTTTTGCCTTCAGAGAGAGTAAAGCTTGACCAGTATGTGGACCTAACCTAATACTGTTAGTATCTGTTGCTTGCCAATGGTTCAGCCCCAGGTACAGTTAATCAAGAATTTCCTCATGTCAGTGAAAAGACGAGACGCAGCAGGGAACAGGAATGACTGTAATTAAACATCATAATTGAGTAAAATTAGCCACTGGAAGGCCAACATTAGGTATATAAGGTGCCAAACCTTGTTGCTATCTCTCACCTTTAACACAACGGAGACGTATGTGCAAAGGGAGGGGGAGAGAGGATTCACTCCTCCCCCCCTGCCTGCAGACAGCAGAGAAAGGAGCACCTCCAAAGGGTGACCCATCCTTTTTTAAGTGAGAGTGAGGCAGGACAACTTAGACTTTTACAGAAGCACCTCTCTATTGACGAGGATGGGGGCAGTGTATATAGCAAGTTCAGACTAGATATACAATGCTGGATGAGTTGAGTGCCATCCTCAACAGTGAAAAGCAGTGTGAAGTCTCTGAATTCCTATTTTCTTAATCCAAATCCTTCAGGAGGAAATGGTCAAGACAAAGATAAGCAATCTATAGGGCAATCTATAGTGTTAAAATAATTTTCCTCACTGCTGTTTAATACCTTACAGTCTCACACATTTCTAGAGCGAGCTACTGAAAAGCTGCTCACATCACACCATCAAATGCACTACCCCCCATCGATCTTCAGTTACCCTTGCTCAGAGCAGTGATTTAGACTGGTATGTAGGAAATTACTGTAGCACATGGATGAATCCCATTTCAATCAGTCATCCTGCTCGAGAGATTTCCTGAAGCTAGGCCTTAATCTTCTTTTTAATTTGATGGAGTGACAACAATATCTTTTATATCACAGTCACATGTACAGGCCTTCACAGGGAGCCTTTGTTCATTGTTGCCGATGCAATGAGTTATGTCTGCATGTGAAAGAAAAATGGTGTGCCAATATTGCGCAAAAGAGAACAGACCAAATGAATAGATACATGTAAAACAGATGCATACAAACACAGACACATGATATTAGATTGTTCACAAGATGTGATCAGAGCCACTCAGGCTAGGTGCATAAAAGGATTAGGAGATGTCAGTGTTTGCTATACAAAAGGTGAGCCATGTATGCTCCATGAGACAGAGCTGGTCTGGGGTGCAGAGGACCTACACGCTCAACCCGAGCTAGGTGCAAAATTAAAAAAAAAGACAGAAGGGTGAGGGTTTGAGGTACAGGACCCCAACCAAGAGCCTCTCTAGAGTCAGCACTTTTGCCTTTTTTCTTGGAACTGTCACAGAAAGAGCTTGGTCGTGTGTAAGAGACCAAAAAGCAACTGTAAGAAACATGAAAAAGATTCACTCTCCAAGGTTTAAGATCAAACAGCTATGCTGCAAGGGAGACTTAGTGCAACATCACGTGACAGGGAATAGGCCTCTTTCACCTGTTTTCTATTTTAGCCTAACACACTTGAATGCCCTGAAAAGAAAAGCCCCAGGCCCTGTCCCATCAGAAAGCCTGCTCTTTTCTTTCTGTACACAACCCTTCATTATCGTCACACCACTAGGTGAAGAGATGCCTCTGAGAGGTCAATTTACTCTGGCAGGGGGTGGGGAGCCATGAATCTCTATTCCTCTGTGTTCAAGCTCAAAGAGAAACTAAGAAGCTGTTGTGTGCACCAGCTCAGCCATGCACTCTACTGGAGAGCAGATAAGACCCCAGCCTTTAATCTGCACTGAAAGGAGATGGTATGCAGGGACCGCAACAAGCAATATGCTCAAACAATGCTGTTTGACTAACGTGCACTTGCAGACTAGTCCAAGCACTCGGACACACATTGAGCACTCCTGACCCTCCCCAGTAGCAATACCCAATCTTGCAGAACAGAAGCTACTACTATTGCCATGAAATGCATGTCTCCTGCTTGCAGCTTTTACTGCCAGTGCACACAGAGGTGTTTTCATATAGGTAACTGTGCTAGGACTGTGGGTTTCAGCAGAGGCTTCTAAACCCAAATTTGAGCCACTGTAACGCTGAAAATTTTCTATATCTAGGAAAATGGACAAGGAAATACTGCACAACAGAAGTTCTGCTTCCATTCCTGAATTTTTATTTTTCATATAAAGCAAGATTGTCATACTGAAGAAAGCTGTGTTTCTCTCTGAATTTCAACAAAATCCATGATTGCAAGCTGGTAGACAAATTTCCTTGACCTTCTCTTAGAGTCATGTAAAAGGAAACCCCCAAGCCCACATAGTTCTTTATGTCTGCTGTGTTTTCCCTAGTAGAAAGATGGTACTTCCCATCTGACCCAGAAGCATGCCAGGACCTCACCATCTACAAATATCCCAAGACAATGAATCACTGGATGTACATGTAAAGAAACAAAACTGTTTGTTAGGAAACCTGATCTGTACTGCTGACATCCGAGAAGTGGTGGGACCAGCTACAGCACATGATCATAACAGTGCAACCACAAAATGGCACAAACAATTCTAGCCATTGCGGACATCATAAAGCAGGATGTTTGTCTCTGACTTGGCTGGGAGTGCTTAGATGGTTTTCTGGTTACAGAGACTCTATGGGTCACTGAAACAAGTATTTTCAAGAATGTAGAGGTACAGATCTTACAATTGTTTACAAACTTCCTGGAAATTCCCATGGAAATGATCATTTTCTATCATTCTTAGACTGCTTCCAAGAATTATATATAGATAAAAAGAGTGAACAGGACACCTGTAGGTGACTGGATTAGAGTTACTGGACTGTAAAAAAGGCATGACATGAGACTGCTGAGTATGGTAGCCATAAATAAAAAAAGAGAAACTTCAGCAAAAATTATCACTTAACTGTGAAGTACAAAGGACAGCTCATCCCTCTCTATGTGCCTCCCATAGCAGGGTTGTTCTCCTACCCTTTCAGCAATCAAAGTATCCACCAATAGCAGTCTGTGAGCCAATAAATCCATTGAGAAGGGTTCAAAACTGCCAGTGCTCCCTGAAAGGATGCAAACAAAAGCAAAGGAGAATTTCTGATGGCCTGGAGAGCAGGGACATGCGTAGCCCAAGTCAGTCCCACAGGTATCTGCAGTGAAGAGCTGGTAGTTCAATGTGTGGCAGATGAAGCCAGTGACCTACAGAATGCAGAGTCCTGTCTTAAATCATTTCATTGGATGGAAACCAAACTGCAAAACAGACATCCTACTCCTCCTACAGGTCCAGATCACTGTAGCGTTCATCAGCCCATGAGGGGGACAAAGTGATCCTTATTGACATCAGGTACCTGACAAAGCTAAAATGAATTCCCAGAAGACACAGCTCTTAGGACATAATGGCTAAGAATGGAGACACAGAAAGTACTTGTGTGGTACCCCCACCGACAGTGTCCCCACAGGCAAGAACCCTTACAGAGGAATTTTCTTCATCCCACCTCACAGTCTGTTATTCCCTGAAAGGAACTGAAATGAGTGAAACAGAAGAAAACCTGTGGAAAGAAAAGGATGCTCCTCCCTATCCCCAAATCTCTACTTACTTTAACCTTTTGGCACAAGAACAAGGGACAGCTCATGTTCTGTGAGTGACAGGCAAAATCC